ATTGCCAAAGTAACTCTTAGCAATTTAGAGGAAAGGGGTTGTTTGTAGCTCACAGTTGCAGGTTATGGTTGAACATAACATACAAGTCAAGAACTTGAGGGAGCTGAACATACCACAGGGACAGAGAGGAATGAATACATGCCTGTTGTCTTAGCTCAGCTCATTTTTCTCCACTCATACAGTTCAGCCTCACTGCCTAGAGAATGGTGCCACTCACAATGGGCAGTTCTTCCCACTCAATTAACACAATCAAAATAAATCCCCACAGACACACTCACAGGCCAATTTACTCCAGGAGCTCCCTGACTGAAACCCCTGCTCAGGTGATTTTAGATCAAGTTGATAATTAACTAACTCAGGAGGCAGAGACAGGTGGATGTCTGTGAGTTTGAGGCCAGCCTAGTTTACAGAGTGACCCAATAACCAGACTTTGGCAGGGGATGCATATAAGTGATAAAGTGCTTAATATACATAGGGAGCTATGTTCAATCCTCAACACTGGAAATAAATATTAAAAATTAATAAATAACACATGGGTCAAATAAGAAATCACAATGGAAAATTACAAATAATCAGAACTATAGACAAAAATCCCACAACTTACCAATTTCAAGATTAAGATATGGAAATATGTGCCAGGCGTTGGTGACGCACGCCTTTAATCCCAGCACTCAGGAGGCAGAGGCAGGCAGATCTGAGAGTTCGAGGCCAGCCTGGTCTCCAGAGTGAGTGCCAGGATAGGCTCCCAAGCCACCCAGAGAAACCCTATCTCGAAAAACCAAAAAAAAAAAAAAAAAAAAAAAAAAAAAAAAAAAAGGAAATATGCATCTTTTAAAGTATATGTCATCAAAGACAGGTCTAAGGCCAGGCATGTTGGCACAGGCACAGACTTATGATCCAGCACTTGGGAGGTAACAACAGGATACTCAAGAGTTCAATGTCAACTTTGGTGCATAGTGAGCTAGAGGCCAGCCTGAATTACAACAGACCAAAAATCAAAGAAAAAACAGGGAGCCATCACTAAAGATCTCAAACCCACCAAAAGGATAATAAAAGGAATGAATACAACTCTGCAGTCGAAATTTGGGGGGAGACCATTTGCTAAGTCAGATTAAATGGACCAATTCCTTAAGACACAATCTGTTAAAATTCACATAAGAAGCAGACAATTTGAACATAGCTGAACATACTAGAAAATGAATCAATAATTAAGAGTCTTATACAACTGAAGCCAATTGGCTCGGATGATTTCAAAGGTGTATTCCACAGACACTTAGGGAAGAGATGGTATCATACATTGTGGTGGAGACTGATGTTGGAAGACTGCCATGAATTCCAGGGCAGCCTGGGCTATGCAGTAAATTCCAGGGCAGCCTAAGGTACACAGAATACCAAGTCTTTGTCTCAAAACAACTTAAGATCTAAGAATGTAGCTCAGGTGGTGAAGTGCTTGCCTAGCATGCACACGGTCTTGAGTTCGAGGTTCAGCACTGTATAAACCAGGCTCATTGGTTCAGACCTATAATCCTATCACTTAGGGAGCAGTGGCAGGAGGACAGCCTAGGTTACATAGGACCATGTCTTTAAAAGATAAATAGATAAAATAAATCAAAATAAAGCATAAGACCCCCCCCCTCCGGGATCACATGTGTTCCAGACTGACTCAATAGCACTGTGTAACTAACTACATAGCTGAGGCCCACTCTGCTGTTCTGATCTTCTGCTGTTCTGATCTTCGTGCCCATCCTCCAGAATGCAGGATTACAGACACGCACCGCTGTACTCAGAATCCCTGCATCCTAAGTAAACACCTTACCAGACAGTCACATTTCCATCCGAATAGCATTTCTCTCCAGTGTCTTTCGGAACATAGACATTCTATCTCGACTCCTTCAATGAGACTAGGATACTTTCATATTAAAAGCAGGTGACACAGCAAGGAATCAACAGCATTTCCCATTGATACCGACACAGGAATGGTTACTATAATACTATAGCATTTAAATGAACAATGAATAAAAAAATAACTACCAGGTGTGATGACACACTCCGTGGGAGGCAGAGATAGGCAATCCTTGAGTTTGAGGACAGCCAGGGCTCCACAGAGAAACCCTGTCTCAAAAAAAACAGGAGACAATCGGGGGAAGTGAGTGTGTGTGTGTGTGTGTGTGTGTGTGTGTGTGTGTGCGCGCGCGTGCGTGTTATGATCCAGGCCAGATCTTGGCTAGTTCAACATTTGAAAAGCCTATTAATGTAATCTATCACAACAAACAACATAAAGGAGAAACAGCTATGTAATTGTATAAATAAATGTCAAAATTCAACATCACTCATAATTAAATTTCTCAGCAAATGGGGGCGCAGCTTGTAAAGGAATGTCTGGGAATGGGGTTGGCGGTAAGATGGCTCAGCAAGTGAAGGCACTTGGCACTAAGCTAAGGACCTGAGTTCAATTCCTTGGACCCATATGTTGGAAGGAGAAAACCAATTACCAGCACAAGCCTTTAAGCCCAGAACTCTGGAGACAGGGGCCTCTGTGAGTTGAGGCCAGCCTGTTCTACATAGTGAGTTCCAGGAAAGCCAGAGCTATGCACAAAGACCTTGTCTCAAAAAAAGAAAACAACAACAACAAAAACCAAGTACCATAAGTTGACCTCTGACCCTACACACACACACACACACACACACACACACACACACACACCCTGCACAAGATTAGACTAGAAACTTTAAGAATATCTTCCATAATCCTACTCTAACCTGATAGTCCCTGGTGAGAAACTAGAAACCTCACTAATATCATTTGGAACAAAACACCAAGTTTTCTTTCATCATTCTGTTCAACATGTGCTAAAGCTAATAAAATAAGGAAAGAAAATTGAAGCTACAGTACTTTTTCATGTACTAAAGAGAAGGCTCAATGGTTGAGAGCAATTCACTGGCTGCTCTTCCAGAAGATCAAGGTTTGGTTTATGGCTCACAACCATCTGTAATTCCAGTTCCAGGAGATCCAATGTCCTCTTCTGGCCTCTGAGAGCAAAAGGCAATCACATGGTACACAGTGGCAAAACAGTGATACACATAAAATATAATACAATCTAAAGGTGCCTGCCCTCAAGACCATTTCCAGAAAATGGTGAAGAAGAGAAACAACTCCCACAAGTTGTCCTGACCTCCACATGCACGGACACACAAAGGAATGAATAAACGTAAAAAAGAAAGGAAGGTTTAGGAATAAATCTAATAAGAAACTAATATAAAAAGTTACTAAGGCTAGTGTGATGATTTGAATAAAAATGGACCCCATAGGCTCATAAATTAACCACCAGGGAATGGCACTGTTTGAAGATTAGGAGGCGTGACCTTGTTGGAAGAGGTGTGTCACTGGGGTGGGCTTTGAGGTTTAAAAAGCCCATGCCAGGCGCAAGCACTTATTCTCTCTGCCTAAGGATCCAGTACCAAGTCTGCCTGCATGGAACCATGTTCCCCACCATGACGATAATGAACTAACCCTCTGAAACTGTAATGGAGCCCACAATTAAATGCTTTCTTATGATAAGAGTTGGCTTGGCTGGCTACACATGCCTTTAATCCCAGGCAGAGGAGGCAGAGGCAGGCAGATCTCTGTGAGTTCAAAGCCAGCCTAGTCTAAAAAGAGTGTTTCAGGACAGCTAGGGTGACACAGAGAAAGAAACCCTGCCTCAAAACACCATGGCAGGCCGGGCAGTGATGGCGCATGCCTTTAATCCCAGCACTCAGGAGGCAAAGATAGGCGGATCTCTGTGAGTTCGAGGCCAGCCTGGTCTCCAGAATGAGTGCCAGGATAGGATCCAAAGCTACACAGGGAAACCCTGTCTCGAAAAAACAAAAAAAAACAAAACAAAACAAAAAACCCACCATGGCCTGCTCATGGTGTCTCTTCACAGGTATAGAATAGGGACTAAGATAACTGGGAACACAGCTCGGTTGGTAAACTGCTTGCCTAACACGCACAGAACCCTGGGTTCCAGCCTTAGCATCACATAAACAAGACATGGCATCGCACACCTGTAAACCCAGCACTCCAGAGGTAGAAGCAGGACCCTGTAATGCCAGCCCCTCTGAAGGCTGAGGCAGGAGAATGGCTAGTTTAAGAGTTTAAGGACTGAGCTGGGAGGTAGTGGCGCACGCACTTTAATCTCAGCACTCGGGAGGGAGGCAGAGGCAGGTGGATCTCTGTGAGTTTGAGACCAGCCTGGTCTACAAGAGCTAGTTCCAGGACAGTCTCCAAAGCCACAGAGAAACCCTATTTCGAAACCCCTCCCCAAAAAGAGTTTAAGGCCTGTTGGACTACAAGGTAAGTTAAAACCAGAGTAGGCAACTTGACAAGATTGTCTGAAATAAAATGAAAAGTAAAAAAGGGCCTGGAAAGTAGCTCAGTGATGAATGATTGTCCAGCCCAAGGCTGAGCTCAGTTTCTATTACAAAAAAAAAAAAAAAAAAAAAAAAAAAAAAAAAAAAAAAAAAAAAAAAACAAAAGAAGATAAGAAGGGGAGGGGAAGCGGAGGAAGACAGAAAAGAAAAACACTTTGAGTCCCAGCATTCCTAGAGCAGAGACAGTGGATCTCTGTAAGTCTGAGACCAACCAGGGCTATAGACCCTGGGAGGGGGGGGAAGGATTCAGAGAAGAATGAGAATGAACTGTAACAGAAAAGAATATTCACTAAGGATCAATTCCCCTTGTAGATAGAAATGATGGGCTTCATTTAGGAAAAGACCTTCTACTCCAACTTTCCCAGGAGAGCGAAACAAAGAACATAAAGCAGTTGTATTATGAAGACACCACTCTTCCCATAAGGCCAGTGGGAAGGGTTTCAGCTGAAGGTACCTTCTAAAAGCTGAAGCTAGAGGTCAGACAAGTTAAATGAATGAAACCTTTCTCATGTTCAAGAATTCAACAGCTGGCTAGATGCCCATGCGTACAGAGATTCATCTTGGACCAGAGGGAGTCAGGGCCTCACCTCAGGTATCAACCGTCTCCTCTTCACACTGGGGACAGAGTCCGGTTGGCCGTCGATGACCAGCTGCTTCCTCTTGCTGGACTCCTGAAGAGCAGTGAGGACGCTGTCCAAGGGGTGCTTCTCAGGGCCCCTGGAATTCCGGGAGCAGTCCAGGGCAGCATGGTCTCCCTCTATCTTCACAATGCTATTTTTCACAACTATGGCAGAGAAGAAATGGGGCTCAGTAGGAAGACCAAGACTGCTGGGAGAGCAGCAGGGTGTCTAAGGGACCCCCTCTCTACCACACTGTTACTTAAGGGTGCTAACTAGCACTTCCCAGCAACTTGGTCCTTTCCCTACGCTTGCTAATGCTGTACAGTAAGTTCACGGTTCAATTCAAAGTGTGTTTAAAAGTTTTTACAGGGAGGAGGTAAATGGGGAAAAACTAAATCTTACATGTGTGGTGGAGCTAGACAGATCTAACCCAGAGCCAAGAATTCTAACACTGAAGTACATCCCCACCCCTAGATGTTATCTTTCTATGGTTTTAAAAAGCAATTCAAAATAGGTGTATAGATAGAGGGGTTGTCAACAATGGGTAGGAAGGTTTCTCATTAAATACTTTTTAAAAATTTGGGACTATATGAATGTATAACTTATTCAAAATATTCAATTAAAAACTTTTACCTTCTTCTACATCTTCACTGAATTCAGTTGAGTTCATCTTCTATTCCACTAAATGAAAAGATAAACACAGGATCTTCATTTATTGATTGATTAATTTCTTAATGTTCCTCACCCATAGAGACTCCCTCATCCCCCAGCCCAGCTTTGGGACCAATGATTAAGCTTTGCCACAGATTGTAAGCAAGTGTGTCTCCCATCTTCCTGAGGTCTCACTATGTAGCCAGCTTTCCTGGACCTCCCTATGTAGACCAGGCTAACCTAGAACTCAGAGATTTGCTTCCTCTGCCTCCAGGGCTGGATTACAGGCCTGCACCATCATCTGCATGCAGCTCAAGCAAGCTCTCTGCTTGTCTGCAGAGGCAGCCACGCCTTTCACCTTCTTGCCCTACTACCAGACCATGTGAACAGAATGCTGACTGAGAGTCATTTCCAGAGCAAACAAACCCGCCTCCTAAGACTCCAACATGCATGCTCTCTTCTTTACCCCTGCTTACAAACCTGCCTAGGAAATAAAAAGATGACAGAGGAAGGCTGGGAGTCTCAATAAATAGCTGAGGGGCTAGCACAGGTAGCCACACATGACAACTACATCCTCAGGATGCAGTCCGTCCAAATGAAAATGTGCCAGAATGTCAATGTATGTGGATTCAGACAGCCTAATAAAAAAAAAAAAAAGAGTGTAAAACATCTCACTAACAATTGTATTTACTGGGGCTGAAGAAAATGGCTCCGTAGTTAAGAGCTCTTGCTGCTCTTGCAGAGGACCTAAGTTCAGTTCCCTGCACCCATGCTGGGTGACTATCTCATAAAACTCCAAGGGATCTATCTATGACAACCTCTTCTGGCCTGAGGGTACCTTCAAACTCCTGTGCATATGCACACACTTACACATGAATAAAAAACAAATAATAAAATATTTATTATCTGGGCTGTGGAGGTGCATGCCTTTAATCCCAGCACTTGGGAGACAGAGGCAGTTGGGTCTGTGAGTTGAAGCTGGCCTGGGCTACATGGTGAAATCCTTTCTTCAAAAAAAAAAAACAAAACAGTATTAACCATATGTTGAAATCATATTTTAGACTTGCTGAGCTAAAGAAAATAATTTATCAATTTCACTTTATTTTATTTATTTATTTATTTTGAGACAGGGTTTCTCTATGTAGCTCTGGCTGTCCTAGAACTCACTCTGCAGACCAGGTTGGCCTTGAACTCACAAAGATCTGCTTGGATTTGCCTCCTGAGTGCTGAGATTAAAGGCATGCACCACCACTGCTTGGCTCACTTGGGTGTTTTTTTTTTTTTTTTAATTGTATTTCTGTGTATAGATGTTCTGCTTTCATGTATCTGTGCGCCACACACACATGTGATACCCCGAGGCCAGAAGAGTGTATCAGATCCCAGGGACTAGAGTTACACAGACAGTTGTGAGCCACTATGTGGGTGTTGGACAAGTCCCCTGATGGCCATCTCTCCCAATTTTTTTAGGCTGTCAGACAATTTAAAACTACACATGAGGTCCCACTATATTTTCACTGCATAGCACTTGTCTAGTCCTTCCTTCAGCAGTAGCATGGAGAGGCAGCAGGAGGAGCTGGTGCTGTGTACTGACAGCCATCCCTCTCCAACTGCAGCATCTATGCTGGGACTCACACCATCACTGAAGCCACCAGTGGGTCTCTGTTGTACCCAAATTCTACAAACGCATACTAACGCAAGTGGCATTTTAAAACATTATCTACCATGGGGCTGGAGAGATGGCTCAGTGGTTAAGAACACTAGCTGGTCTTCCACAGGTCCTGAGTTCAATTCCCAGCAACCACATGATGATGGCTCTAACCATTCCTAATGAGGAATACATGCAGGGATACATGCAGACAGAACACCGTACAGGAAAGAGGCAGAGGGAGGGAGAGAGAGAATATCTACCACATCCTTTAATGTTGATACTGGGGACTTGTGATTCCTACAACTGATTCAGGTCATCACAAACACATTTTTTGCTCTGGATAGAGAAGGTGGGGGCAGGAGGTATCTTGAGACATTTCTACAATAGAGATGTCACTACAGCATCCAGCTAACTACATAGAGAAGCCACGGCCTGGCATGTGTCCAGCACACTGTCCTCTTTTAGAGGGGATAAATGGAAAGAAGAGGAAGAGAAACAGTGTCTGTCTGGCTGATCTACTCACATAATTACTTCAAAATTGGTTAATAGGCTGGGCATGGTTGTGCAAGCCTAGCATCCCAGCTCTCTGAAGGCAGAGGCAGGCAAGATCTCTGTGAATTCATGGCCAGGCCAGCCTGGTCTACACCCCAAGTTCCAGGATAGCCATGGATACATAGAGACCCTGTCTCAAAAAAAAAAAAAAAAAAAAAAAAAAAAAAAAAGAGCCAGACAAATCAACTGGCCAATGACAGCAACACTTGGACAGAAGCACTGTTCTAACCAGTGTCAAAGCCACGCTGGGTCAGGCATTGCCTTTCATCCCTGAATTACTACTGTAGGATTAAAACAAGATTTATTTGAGGTTAAAAACAATTCCCATTCACAAAGCTATCTCATACCTGAAGAACAATATAAAGTGATAGAGAAAACAAAACATGAATTTTAAGGGTCCATACATTATTTTTTTAACCAGAGATGACTTTGAGTGCCAACTTCTTTCTGTCTCAACAAGTAAACATTCATCTACGCTGGGAGACCCTCAGCAGTCAGGAAAGTTGGCAGTGACAGACTGAAACTCAGATATGATTCCCATCGCAGCCAGGGGATTGATCAGAAAACACACTTCAGGCCAGTGGAGTGCCCAAGCCTGCCCACTGCCCTTGGAAACACTGCCACACAGTGTTTCCCTCCAATGAGGGCAAAGGTAAGCAAAAGAGATAGGGAGAACAAGTGACAGGCTGTCAGAAACAAGTACTTTCTACAAATCGGGATCTTGCTATTCAGTCCAAGCTGGTCTTGAACTTTAGGTAGCCTAGTCTGGCCTTGAACAACATCCTCCTGTTTATCCCCAAGTGCTGGGATTACAGCATGCACTACCATGTCCAGTTACACAGTATATTCTTGGGAGGAAAAGGAGGAATGGAAGGAGACAGATGGCTTGAGGGATTAAAAAGTGATGATGTAAATGCCCAGCAATGACTCTAAGTAAAGAAGTGTTAAAGGATGGGAAGGTTCTCGAGAGGTGCCCAACCACCTATTTATAATTATGCGCTAGTCACACAGTGAGTCCAAGGGAGCTGAGAGGCAGCAGCAAGGCAAAGGAACGGGAGTCCCAGCTGCTGGTGGAATGTGTTGGAATGAGTCTTGGTGAGCCAGATGTTCTGCACCTTGTGAAACCATACCAGAGACTTTAGCACATAATTATGAGGCCTAGAAACTGACAATGGAGGAGCACCTTTAGGCAGGAGAAACTGGAAGGACCCAAGAAGGCTTTAGCAAGAGGTGAATGAAGGCACTGCCCAGCTTCCTGGGCATTCAAGACACCCAAAGCACTTCTGCTCCAGAACACATCTCCACTCCTATGTGGACTAATGGCAGAGGCTAGGCTAGTGCAAGAGAACTCAGTGAAAAGCTGAGCAGTCTCTGTCTCCCACTTTTAAGACCTGGAAGCCCAAAGCCACCTCTGGTTTCTGAGAGGGCAGCAGGGTGAGGTCCTGGTTGCTCTACATTCCAGCACTGCCTCAGCCTGGGGCTACTTTAATCCGAAATCTACCAACATAGCATCCTGAGGTGGGGAGCTTGCTCAGCATGCCACAGTGAATGAGAGGCAGAACCAGGCTTGAAACTGAGTTTGTACCTCCCACCCAGGCAGAGCAGGAAGCAGTCACCAACTGTCCTCTAGGAAGTGCTTTTTAGGAACACAAACCCAGTTCCAGACTTAGGTCCAGCAGCAACTGAGGAACCCAAGTCTCCTTCTGCTGTAATAAAGCTACCTGGAAAGCCAGGCAGATAAGGGCTTGGAAAAGGACACCTCCCTACCCCCACAGTGCAGGAAGCTTCCAAGAAGGGGTTGGGCAGGTCACTCCTTGCATCCCCAGGCTAGTAACAAGGAGATGTGTATCACACTGCTACCTCCACTTCCCAGTCATCTGCTTAGTGAGGGTCACATGCTCTCTGTGGGTGGACACAGAAGACCCAGATGCCTAGCATGCCACACACATTCCTTCCAATTGCAAAACTGAATGTTATGGAGGAGCCAGAAGCTCCCACCACTCTTCTGCTGCCTGCCTCCAGAGCCTCACTCCAGCACAACTCCTTTTCAAAACCTCGTTTCTCAGCAGACCTTACATTTCAGCGCACACACACACGCACGCACGCACGCCTGCCTGCATGCATAAATGACAATGTCTAAATCAACTTTCTCCCAATGGGGCAGCTATTCCATGTTCTTCAGAAATGGCTGAACAAGGTAAGGGAAAAATTAACACAAGAGATCCTTGACTCTGGTTAAAATGTCAAGTTGAACATGATGGTACATACCTGTAATCCCAAGATCTTGAGCTCAAGGGCAGCCTGACTAAAAACAGAGTGTGTGTGTGTGTGTGTGTGTGTGTGTGTGTGTGTGTGGGGGGGGGGGGGGGGGGTAATCCATCAGGACAGGTCTTGACTAGCAGCAATAAGTCCTGAGTTGGAAGTTCAGCACCAAATAAACCTGGCATGGTGAATCATGCCTGAAATCCAAGTGTGTAGGATATAGGATGCAAGAGGACCAGAAGTTCAAGACCATCCTCACCTATATAACCAATTCAAGAACAGCATGGGATGAGACTCCCCCACCCCCCCCACACACACACACATACAACTGAAACCAGGTACATGTTTGTAATCCAGCACAAAAGCAGTGGAAGCAGGTGTAGGATAGGATAGGTCATCTGCACACAGTGACTTTGAAACTGTCCTAGGCTCCTATGTGTGTTACACATATATAGCTACATTGTGAAACATTTTTAACCTTGTAATGGCTTTATCATTATGGTTATTTTAAAATAACAATAAAAATTCAAGTATTCTTCCAGCTTTAGTTTTTGTCCCACTACTTCTGATTTGTTGGGGTAGAGATATGGCTTCAGCTTTTAAAATCCTCCTGTCTCCAGGAGCTAGTTAGTTTTATGTCAACTGGACACAAGCT